GATCCTCCCTGCCCCCCTAAAAGCAATATGCAAAAGCAATTTAAATAACAAAGATTTAAAAATGCAATATATAGTGCAGCTCTGTTCATTTAGTAGACATATATGCATTTCTTTCTTCTACAGAATATGACTGTTGAGTTACACAAGCAATGTGGGGCCTCCTTCCTATCTTTATGAATGCTTCTATACCCCACCTTTTCTCTTGAGAGCAACAAGAAACTCTCCTCAACAAGAAATAGTATTTGAGATGAAAGAGAATGGATAAGCTAAAGTCACCCAGTGAGCTCTGTAATCAAGTGGGCACTTGAACATAGATCTTCCCAGGCCAAGTTCAGCACCTTAAACCACTATACTACACTGGCTTTATCTGCTAATCTAGCATCTCAGAAAGTAATCTAATCCCAGAAATCACTTACGGAACTACAAGACAATATTTAATATTGCTCTCCTAAACAGTCCCTTTGCACTCCTCCTTTAAGCTCATCCACCTAGGCTTATGCTCAACCACATAGGCATATTTAAGAATTCACACAGATTAGCCTTGGATAATTCTGTTGCTAGATCCTTATAAAATCCTGCTTAGGAACTAACATGAGAAGTCATTTTCATTGTAATGTTGCATTCTCAAGTGCTAAATTTCTTGTCACTGCACTTACCCTCCGGACCAGCATACCCCCAGAGAGTTGGTTGACCCTGACCTTGGTGGTCTTTCATAAGACATTAAAAACTTGGCTTTTCCTCCAGGCCCTGGGGCAGGAAGCCCATTTGGGGGGAGGGGGGTGTTGATGTGGATATGTGTGCTGCCCCAGATGTGATATGTTTCACCTTTTGTTGTCATTGTTATTTTTAACTTGCTATTTACCACCCAGAGTTGTATATCAAGAGGGTAACAATATAAATGGGATGAATGAACCCATAAATAAAAAACCTTGCACTGACTTTTAGATGCTGAAGCAATCTGCCACATCATATAAATTAATGTGTGATAATATTTACTCATGAGAGTTATGCTTAATATACTTAACAATTTTCCTCCAGATATAACTTATTTCCCTGTCTCTTTCCTTACAACGCTACTCCCTGCACTAAAATATGTCTATCCATAAATCATCTGAAGCAGCTGCTCATTAAAACTTCACCTCACTCATCTTGGGTGCTACATACCCTGTTTGGAATGGTGGGATTTCCTAGGCTATCATTGCAGGCATCCTGGATAACCAGGTAGTAAACTTCACAGTGAGACAGCTCGAAAAGTCAACTTTTACTTACCTGCTGCCGTGATACAACAGAACAAGCCAAACTGTTTCATTTAGTATACAAAAATCAGCTAGTGTATATATAGAATGGAGCAAAACATGATAAATTGCTGTAGATCAAATTGCATGTAAAAAGAATAAAGTTGGCAGCATCGGCCTAAAGAGTTAAAGAGTTTTCATTCTCTTTCTCTGTGGCAAGAATAGTTACAAAGAGCTTGCATCACTTGTACCCATCGGTATTCACCAAGCAATGGCTAAAATAGGTCAAAGAGTCATTAAAATTAGCAAGCTTGGGCAGGCCTGAGTTCTTAGCCAGTTTCAGTTTTTCTAAGCTTAGATTTGTATCCCCAGATGATACCCACAATAGGCTTGAGTTATAGTATGAGTAAGAACTGCCTCCTTAACAATTATGGTAACAACCAGGCTCATTCTGTAGAATTTGAGGGGAAATCACTCAAGAATCATGCTGAAAGAGAATACAGTAGCTGAGAACTCAGTTTTCCTCCTCAGAGTTGTTTCAGAAGAGAAGGTAGACTAGAAAATAAGGATAAAACATTGAGGTTCAGAAACAGAGAAAGGCAATGTGGCTTCAAGTCTCACAAAACCTCTCTGAAAACCCATGAGCCAGGGCACAGTCCCTTACTAAAGTTAGATTTGGCGACTAGATGAGAGATGGGGATTCCAAAATGTAGCAGTTGCCTCCATTCCCAAAGGATCTCAGTATGGTCTTCCCATGTCTGAATGTCTGTTGCATTCACACAGTAGGAACCCAATGAATAGGACCACTTATCATTACTTACTATGAATTAAAATGTTCTTTCTGGACAGGCAAGTTCCCTTATATAGGTTTCTGTTAAAAGGGGGGGGGGGAAACCCAGGTACCAACCTCATTATAATCAGCCCATAATAGTGAGAATGATAAAAAAGAAAGATTTGATAACATTGTCAGAAGTTCACTTTTGGGAAAGACATTATATATCCTTCCTTGAAAGCCTTTCATCTACCTTCTAACCAAGGATAAACTTTTACAGCTTCAAAGATGAAACTACATAGATGCTCCATGCAGCAATTTCTATAGAAACTCTAAAAATGTATCAGGAGAATGGCAGCTGCCAAGGATTAAGACAAAACTTTATTTTAGAATTAGAAACATACATTTGCGGGTCAAAATCTCCAAAAATCATTGTTCCAGCACTTTTGCTTAATGGTTAATGGCCACTTTTGAGATTTACAAGTGTGTAATCAAATACTCACTTACCTTGGAAAAACCTCTATTATCCTGAGTATACATGTAATTCAGTTCAGTTCAGTTTAGTACATTATTGTATTGCAAACCGTCCTGGGAAAATTTGGTTTTGAAATACAAAGATGTATAAATAATTTTTAAAAGCAAGCAGGGGACGCTTTTTGGTGATTGCGATGCAGAGATTCAGCTGCATATTAGATGCCATTAAAAGAGGGACTCTAATAGAGGTACCAACCTTAGGAATTGTTCTTAAATACTCCAGCCAACTCGACTTTCCCCAGTGGGACACACCTGCTCTTCCCAACTTGACTTACAAATCTATACATCTGGAGGATCCCAGGTTCCGAAAGTCTAATCTAAATACTTCTAATAAAACAACATGAATAGGTTTTATTTGTAAAATCTATTTGCCTAATTGTAGATATCGATTTTCTTTGAAACAACACTTTGGGTGGATGGTTTATCAGAGATTGCATGTATATAGCAAACAGGTATTCCTAGCCTCTGCCATTCAGCAGTCTCGTATTTTCAACCCATTACCAAAGTGATTGGTCATTATTCCATCACTTGCTGGAAGAGAAAAGGTTGCCCACCAACTATCAGAGGGAACAGGGACTCTTCTCCCAAATTGATGCTCTTTAGTGGATTGGAAATCTACTTGCCCCATCCTTTTCTAGGAAATTGTATGGAACATTTTGCTACAATGAGTAGATGAGCTCTTTTTGGATAGAGGCCAGTTTGCACAAGTTGTTTACAGGAAAACCTACACTAACAATCAGGTACAATACCAAAAACAGAAAAAAATTACAATGATATGCTCCAAATTTACCACAGGAAGATATTATTTGCCACACCCTTATTATTCCAGTTCAGGGTGTACACACCTCTACCAATCCAGGCAACCCACTCTTGAAACTCCTAATCAAAGAGATTAGGAATTAAGAAGTTTTTTACTTTGAAACATGATTTATGGGGAAGCCATACTGAACGTGTTATTATTTACAAAGATAATAATTCTTTGATCCTAAGTGAAGATGTTATCTTGTTTTCCATGAAAATTAAACTGGTATAAAGTAGTCACACTTAATATGAGGCATGTTCTTCTGTGATTGATGGGCTCCTCTCCAGCTATACAAAAGTCCCCAACCACCTGAGGAAATGTAAGCACAAGTCAAGCTGTTAAAGGCCATAGCTGAAAGTCTATAGTAGTTTATATTTTCCTGAAATTCATTATAATACTTTATAATACAAGTTTAGAAAGGTCATACATATTAACATTATTGCTTTAAATTAATTCATTATAACAACACATTCAAATGAGTATTGACGTCTTTGAAATCATCAGCTTCACCTTTCAAAAGGATCTTTAATATTTTTAAGAAAAAACCCTTGGGTCCTAAAATGTTGCCAAATTTTAAAACCATATAATCTTATATATTAGCTTTAGTGTGAAGGAAAATAGCAATTCATAACAGATACTTAAAGTCTCCTTTCAGAGCAAGAAAGTTGGCTTTCCACTTCAATTTACAACTCACCATCCCTTCTTTTCAACTGATCTGACAGCCTTTCAGAGAAACAGCCTTAGCCACAGGTTAAGTTTGACAGCACAAAATAAAGACCGGGAGTAGCATCACTGGCCATCCGGTGTGGCCCAACATCAAGATCATGACCATGATATTCCACTTAAAGACTTTTGTTGTTCAAAAATGGGCTGTGTATTAAATTACTGTCAACTCCTCCCTTATAGAGTCTTTAATTTTTATGGGTGCACCTGCCAGTATTGGGATAATAAGCATGTAGCAATGCATGTCAGCAATTTTGAAAACTTCCCACACAAAAGAGAACTTGCCATATGGCAAAGCATGAGATGCGGGGAGGACAAAGACCTTAGAATAGAGCTGGGAAGGGAGTGATCAGCGTGGCTGGTAACTTCAGGAGAAAAGCCAGGCTCCAGCCACATTTATAGGACAAATATAGATGCTTCATGGATACACTGGGAAGGCATAACATTATCCTAACTTTAGAATGTGGGGATATAATCAGAAGAACTTTTACTTCTTCAGAAGAAACCTGGAAGGCCTGAAGACTTATTCAGGAAACTGATTTAAATAAGGGCCCAAGAGGGGAAGAGATGCTATACTGTGAGTGTTTAGGCGCTCCTCGTGAAAGCTTTTATTGCCTTGGCAGGGGATAGCAGAACACCAACAACAATTCAGTGTGCTATTATTGAGCATTTATTTGTTGATTTGATTGTAATTTTCAATTTGTGACTATTTCAGTAGACATATTTAAATCTGTTGTAAGTGAATCTGGAGAGAGCCAGTTGGGTGTAGTGGTTAAAGCATCAGGCTAGAAACTGGGAGACCATGAGTTCTAGTCCTGCCTTAGGCACAAAGCCAGCTGGGGGACCTTGGGCCAGTCACTCTCTTCAGTCCTAGGAAGGAGGTAATGGCAAACCACTTCTGAAAATCTTGCCAAGAAAACTGCAGGGACTTATCCAGGCAGCCACCAGGAGTCAACACTGACTTGAAGGTGCACGTACACACACACACACGTGAATTTGGAGATCCATTCTTAGACAAAATTGGAGTATACACATTTATGAAAGTGTCAAATGGAAGTAGCTGAAAGACATTAGATCCCAGAGTTTGGGTCCAATACATCTTATAAGTTTAAAAAAAACCAAAAAAAACCACTGAATGCAGAAAAATAGATGCAGAAAAACTCTTTGAGTTGTTCTTCTACAGCAACAATAATTGAAGTGAATTATTATATAGGGAAATTGGTTTTATAATTTACAGAAGCTACTCCACCTCCAAAAGTTCTTGTGGAATATTAAAGAATCAATTTCTTATTTTTGTTTTAAATTACCATTGCAGCTTTTTAACCCTTATAATAAGCATAATAAAGCTGAGAATGTTACAGGATGGGGTGGAGGATTAATACTGAAGATCATAAAACTGGGAATAAAAAAAATTCAGCTCCCAATGAACACGTATTGATAAGCATACATCAGGAACAAGCGCACTTGGATTGTATTTAGACATCTGCACTGTACCTGTATCTCATTCTACGGTGGATGTTCAGGGCTAGAAATCGTCAGGTATCTAAAGTCACTGATGTCTACGTTATACTTTTTTCTGAAACACCAAACCTCATTTATAAGTGACTTCTTCAAGTCAAATTAAAGTACAACATTTCTGAAAAATACTGTACTTAGATTGATAAATGTATAGGGCAGTGTTTCTCAACCTTGGCAACTTTAAGATGGGTGTCAGAAGTCCCCAGCCACCTCCCCCCCGCAATATTCTTCTATTACTAACTTTTGAGCAAAGCTGCTATGGTGTGCTGGCTAGGGTGTTACAATTCAAGACACTGCCTTGAAGCTCCTTAAACACCTTCTGACAGAAGGCAAGCTTCCAGGCCCTGGAACATGATGTGAGTGTTGTACACAAACAGAACCTGCACTTAAAATAGCTTCTTTGCCACCTTGGTACAGATACCAATCAGTGAAATTTAAAAGTGCAGAAGGCAGCAGCAGCATGGGAATCACAACAACATTGGCTCAAATCCAGGAACATTTTATTTCTCTGGAATGGAAACAACTCATCCACTCTGAACATAAACTGCAGGTGGTAATTGTACATTCTCTCTCTTTAAAAAGAAAAGCAAGTGTTTAATTTCATAAATTTCTGTCATAAGAAACAATTTAAAAAAAATTGTACACCAAGCTTTTTTTTTTTTTTGCTTTTTTTTTCTTTTTAAACAAAGCATCAATGTTAAAATGGGTTCACCGGCTTCTACCACATTGTCGTCCATGTATATCATGCAAAATGCTACATCTGCTTAACACATTTTAAACATTAGCATTACAAAGATTCAAGGTTCATTGGTTGACTGATATTTTTAAGACATGGATTGTGACGCATTTCATTCCTCCCCACCCCAGGGAAGTTATAAAAATAATTTAGTTCAAATGGACTAAAGATGGGATTGTATTCCAGCTTTGTACTTCAGTCAATTCCATAAGCAAGCCATTGGCCACAAGGACTGGCTTGTGTGGTTCTTGTAGTTGTAAGATGATAGGGTTAGAAGGTACCTTGGAATTCGTAGAGTCCAGCCTCCAGCAGCAATAAGGAGTCTCTGGACTTCAATGATCCTCCATACTAGATGCTCATCTAGTCTCCTCTAATAGACCTCTTTAAAGGAGAATATTGTGTTCCTGACATCAGGTGGTTCCTCTCTCAGTTATTAGTTCCATTTAAATCAGCACATCTGTAGCAACTAAAAATTAGTTTTGGCTGAGCTCTAAGAGTAACCTATAGCTGAAGAACATCATTTCAGTCTGGGCCAATTTCACATGGATTTAGTCCTTTGTCCTTGGCTTCTTTATACATCCTTTGGAAGTCTTTGAAACGTGGGGCACAGCCTAACCTGGCCTCCCCAAAGTGCATGCTGCCCGTGAAGAGGAAGTCTCCTTCTCCTGGTTTCACCCCACACTGAAGCAGAGTCTTGATCTGTCCTTGCCACTGGCTACTCTCCTCAGCAGAGCTGAAGATCCTTGTTTTCTGCCTGTAGATTCTATTAATGTTTATGTTGATAATGGAATCTTGCTGATCTTCCTTGTTGATTACACTTTGGATGGTACCTCTGACAACTAGGAAGAAACACAGACAAAAGAATTTAGATAGAGATATGCCCTGATATCTATTTTTGTATGTGCATGTTATTATTCCCTTTAATATGTATGGGATTTTGGATAGCAGATTATTTACTCAATGGCATCCTGGGGAGAAAAAAAAAAGGAGGATGCCAACACCAGATGTTAACTTCCCAAAAAAGTGAGGCAAAACTCTACTGTGTTCTTAAAACTAATTTCTTATACAGTGTGTTGGTTTAATTATATATTGCTGCATTGAAATCTTAAGTTTTGTAGCAAGGTTTATGCACATAGAGCAATATTTTTGAAAGATTTGTTTCCTGCAATGTGTTTCAGGTACCTAAGACACATCAGGAAAAACACAGTTTTTGTAGTGTTATATGAGTATCTCTCCAGCTTCACCTCATTGTTTGTTACTAGTGACTCCCCAAGCTACAACTTTTTAAAACTAAAAACAAACATAATGCATTATCTGGATTAAGAATGGTCCATTTTAAATCCATTTCTCAAAAATAAAAATAAAATAAAATAAACAAGTCTCCCCCCAAATTTTGTTTTCTGGATATATTGGTTCCTAACTCCCATAATCCCCAGCCTGGACATTAGGTGTCCTACAGTACTGCACTGAACCACAGTTGCACTGGATCCATACATAAATATCATTAGAAGTTTCAGAGGAAGTTAAAAAGAAAAAGAAAATAATCAGAACTGATTTTTAACCAGCAGCTCTCCAGATCACAATTTTTCACAAACAACTTCAACACTTTTTGGAATCTAGTTTTCCTATTATAGCAGCCTTCCTCAATGTAGTCACCTCTAAATGTGCTGGGCTACCACTCCCTTCAAGTCAACCAGATTGGGCACAAATGTGAGACATCAGTTTGGGAAATGCTCTGCTATGGCTACCCAATAAGACTTAATATTGATGTATGGTAAGCATCAATCCTCCAGTGTAAGTCAAATTATCTCCTCAATGCAAATCAAACAGGAAAAAAATGGGGAAAAAAACTCTTTTATGTATTGTCAATTATTACATAATCAGAAAATATATCATAAGCTACCCTTCCCCAATCTTCTGATAACCAAGTATGTCAGACTACAGTTCTGGGCAGTGTTAATCTAACGTATTTGAAGGGCTTACAGTTAAGAAAGACTATGATCCATGGTTAATCTACTAAAGGCCTACTGTGGTAATATTGGGTTTTAGAGTCCTGGCAGTTCTTGATTTCAGCTGTATCTAAGAACATTCTATTCACTACAAAAGATCACAAAATAGGGAAACAAGTATTTTCTTAATTTTCAAAAAGTTAGGAATTCATCTACAAAGCTAGCATGAAGAAAGGGGCAACGTGGAGCTTTTTGAAAGTTTCAGACAACAGCTCTGACAAACCCTTGCAAATAGCCATGTGCCAAGGAACCTAAAAACAAGCACCTGGAGAGGTTAAAAACACCTGGAGAACACAGTTTACCTATTAGTTAAACAGGATAAGCCTCACTATTAAAATAAATAAATGCCTACACCAAAATTCAATTGAGAAATTTAAATCACATTCTATTAATGGCCCAGTAACATTTAAGTTGAATTCTCTGGCATTCTGCCCTGGAGAAATATAAACAGCAAGCCACCACCTGTCTAGGCAACATTTTCCATAAGACAGAGCTACAGCAATCCCACTACAATATCTGAACAGGGATCCTCCTCCCTGTTCAGAATATGGCCCTCTTCTATCCACAATACTAGCAGACTGTATTTATATCTGTAGCACCACATGTCCAAGACCAGACATGCCCAGCTGTTTCATTACAACATTTACTTTGGATTCCAAGCGTGGGAAAATTGTTTCAATGCTATTTCGCTACCATAAAGAGGAAAACAGTTACCCCACTAGTCATACTAAGGAAAACCACTTGTCTCTTTGAGGGAGACAAAACAGAAAAGGGGATACCTTTTGCTGGCACAGATCACTACATCTATTTTTGAGGTCTAAGCGTTTCAAACAGGCAATCTTTGCAGGCAAAATGTACTTAGAGAAAAATAATACATAATTCTGCTGGGTCTCTGCTAACCATACTGATCATGTCCAACCATAGGACAGCATTTCCTATCCAGAGAGTCTACAGAAGAATCCTACTGGATGTCGATGCATCAAAATATTTTTTTTAATGACTCAGAGAAAAGTTTTCTGAATTGGGTCTGTTCAGGTTTTATAAGACCCTTCTCCCCAAATGGCATTTTGGCTTACTAAAAGGTAACCCTTAAGGAGGAATTGGTCAGATTTTTTTGGACCAGTGTAAAAGAGAATATTTTTTATTCCTGACAAAGTCTCACTCGATTTCCTTTCTTACAGGCAAACAGTCCAGTAAGATAAAGACCCTATTCTGGTTATACCCCTGCAGGATTATAGATAAACTTCATCTTTAAAAACAACTTCCACAGAAACAGGCATTTGGTTTTTATCAAGGGTCTATTTAGAAACATCGAGAGGATAATTCCTATTACTTGCTCCTAAAAACCTTTGAACTTCCACCACTATTACCAAAGCCCGTCTCTTTCTTTGTCCATGGCAGAAAAGAACTAGCCAAACACAATGAGTTTAATTGAAGCTCTTCAGAACTAAAACCCCATAAAGGCTTTTCCTCCCTTGTTCCCTTTGTACTTCTCGGACACACTTTGTTTACTCCAAAATGGGCAGAAAAGGGCTCCCTTGTTGGTTACAATCTGGGGCTTTCAGTTTGTTCACTGTTTGCTGAAGTTTCTGCAGGCCAAATCTAGCAGATTATCACAAGGAAAGAATGGCATTTTTAGAGAGCAATGGTGAACTCAGCAGTCACTCAGAAATCAAGGAAACTTACCAAAGTCACTGGAGCAGACAGCCAAGAGAACTTCCGTGTCACTGCAAGGTCGGCAGGGAGCTGAGAATGAAAGAAATAAGGGCATTTTAGTATCTCAAGAATGTAAATGTTCCACACAGACACGCCTTAATGCACCACTCAAATCAGTTAGCAGATGTGCAATCTACCGCCCCAGATCAATATTCTCTATGAAAATGTCCATCTCTTAAAAACTGAATAGTCCATAATCTGTATATGCTATTAAATATAATTTTCTCTTGCAATAATCTTTTGGTAAGCTTCTTTACTGAAACTGATCTATATTCTACATGGAATTGTATCCCCTTGCAGAACAGTTCCCTTGGCAAAGATGGCAGATGTTACCTCTCTAGGATGTACTTTCTTAACTAGTTCCTCAAGATCCAGCAAGCAAAACTTACTGCAAATGACATGCACTCAGAATTCAAGACTTTTGATTCTAGGACTTTATTCCAAGTATCAGAACTTGCAACAGGAAAAACTATTCCTGATTATCCCTACAAAACTGGTCAGCCTGTTTAAAAATAAGAACATAAATAAAGATGCAGCTGGTAGCCATGCCTTAAACATAACATGTAGTTGAGCCTAAAGGAGACTAGAGAGAGAGAGAGGAAGTTAAAAAAAAAAGAGCCATCTAGGGAAGAGACAGCAGCTGTTTTGTGCCCTTACACAGTAGCCTTTATTCAGCAGCGGTTGCACCATGAGGCTGTGGGACAAAGCCGGAGGCAGTCTACACCTGCATCCCTGGCTTGTGAAGCCAGGGAGAGGTCTGAAGGTCACACTACACATTAAAGATACCATGTGTAGCTCCATGTTTTTCCTTGGATTTTTTTAAACTAGAAAGTGAAGACAGTAGACCTGATATAGTTCAGCACCACAGCATATTTGGACAGGGGGGTTAACCTCTCCTGCATGAACCACAACTTCCCTGTGAAAGCTGCCACAGTGAAGTAACTAAGGAACCCATTCATGCTTACTTTCTGGTTAAAAAAGACCAGTACGCACACATTTTATGTATTTCAAGACTGAATCCTCAACACTGTCTCACTCTTCACTGACTGTATTCCTTGAAGACAACTCTGAGCTGTTACTGTTCTCTCATTTTTCTTCTTTGGGAAATAAATTCCAGCTCTTAATTTATTCTGCTCTATTAAATGGTCTTGTGGCCATTTCCTCCATTTTCTTTCAGGACATTTGGGATGGGAGTGGGGGGTAGAAATACTGTATATTCTTTTGAGGCCTTGACATTTTTTCCTCCTGCCTATCCCATTTACAGTGTGAACCTGGTTTTGTCATTCCCTCCAAAAGGGCTCATTGTTATTAATTACAGGAATACTGGAAGTGGTCCTGTAATTAAGTGGTCCAGTCAACTCAGAGAGTTGAAAAAATATAAGCTGTAAGTGGTTCAGCAAAGGGAAGGGGTGTGTGTGTGTGTGTATCTGTCTTACATTATACATATACATACATGTACATCTATATAGATATATATAATGTAAGACAGATATATCCCATTATTCCAATGACATACCTACAAAACATATTTGTTTCTTAAAATCTGCCATTAGACACACCAAAACCATTTCCATGCATATTCACATAGAAGAGACAGAACTGTAATGAAATAACAGCCTATAGTGTGAGATGTTTATCAAAGGCTAAAAACGACAGAAATACGAAGACTGGGAAGACCATCCAGGTTTTATCACAAAGGCATTTATTTACTTAGCTCCTAAATTTATCCATGTCATATTTTATGGTGTTCAGCTGCCACTATTATGGGAATATCAGCAACTCACAGTATACTATAAGCGAACAGGTGACCATAGTCTGAATTACCAGGCTGCATGAGATGAGTTGCATAAAGGCTGATAAAAATGTCCTTCATCAGAAAGGTTTTACCATCTCTGGAGGGAATTCAGAGCAAAAGCCTCAAATGAAGGACTATGTAAGGACTTGTGTCCTGTAGAAGAAAGCTGCTCTAATGGGGTCTATTAAACCATTTAATGAAAATCAGGGTTGAGAACTGGCTCATATATTTATCACCTTTGTTGCCTGAACACTAATTGCCAGGTGTTAGAAATAAAGATGAGCTTTAACTCTTTTATTTCAGGAAAGCAAATATGATTTAATAGGTATTACAGAGACCTAATGAGATGACTCCCGTGATTGGAATATAGCAAGCAAAGATACATTTTATTCAAAAGGAGAAGTTTCAAGGGTATTCAACCTATTTTATATTCAGAATGTCTGGAACGTGAATCAGGTTATTTCAAGAGTTCTGAATTCTAAATGCCCCTGTTTCAACTCAAAACACTTTTGACCTTGAAAAACAACTGGCTTAACAGCTGTTTTAAGCTTGAAGCAGTTACTTCCAACCTGAGGTGAGACATTTTAAGCTTGAAACATTTCATACTCAAAGTAATTGCACACCTCTAAACAGCAGTAACAGAAAGGGCTGAGAAGTTGCACTGTGTATTAAAACTATCATATCTGCTAAGGGATTCAAGTGAATTAACATGGTGAAGATATCTGGGTTAAAATAAATGGAGGAATGAATGCAGGCAATACTATTAGTATCTACTGTGGCTTATCCAACCAAAGAGAAGATACGGATGATGCTTTCCAGAAGCAAAGTGCAGTTCTTTCAAAGAGGCATGAAGTAGCAGTGATAGGGATTTAAACTACCATGACATCATCTGAGAGACAAATTTTGCCAAGCATTGTCCTTCAAAGAGTGTCTGTCTTGTCTTGCTGACAAACTTTCTCTTTCAGAGGATGAAGGAAGGCACAGGAGGATTCTCTTATCCTTTATTTGATAGCCAATAGGGATGGCACAGACAATGAAATAGTCACAGCAGTTGGCTATACCTAAACTTGCTTGATTTCAAAAAGCCAAACAGGATCAGACCTAGTGAATACTTGGGTGGAAGTCCATCAGGAAATGCTGGGACTATAGACTCAATTGGAAAGTTTAAAAAAAAAAAAAACAACCCAAAGAGGTAGCAAACCACTTTGGTGTTATTGCCAGGGGGAAAAAACCCTGCTTATATTCATAAAAACACAGATATCACCTAGTCAATGAGATGGAAGTAGCAGGAACACAGGGAGAAATGACCATGTAATGCTGGAGCTCTTGCTTTCAATTAAAATTAAAACTGAATATAATCAAATGTTATCTTGGATTCAAGATTGGAGGAACAGCCATCAATCATGAATTCTTAATTTGTATTTCTGCACAGAGCACAAGATTAGACTCAGTAGCTTAAATAGCATCTTTCTAGTTTGAGCATTTTTCCCTAACACAGATTTTGACGTACTTGGGAAATGGTTCACATGAAAAAAAACTAGCTGAAAACTTGTGCATAAGTACATCCTAGTTACTGAAGTGATAATTGTTACAGAAGACAAATGCATTATAAAATGCATTGAAAATTATGATATAAACTTGCATAAACATTCACATATACATATAATGCATAAGCAAATGCATTATAAAATGCAGTGAAAATTATGATATAAACTTGCATAAACATTCACAGAATGAACTCTTGGATGGCTGACTTGATTTTTTCATGTAAGAAAACCAATTAAAGTATGTTACAAGAGAAATGGTTGACACATACATCTGAAGACAGGAAGATCAAGTGGAAACTCAAGACCAGATCTGTTACAACTCTAAGAACTATGTAGTCTGGAAATAGTAGAGACACCCTATGCTAATCTAATCAAGGCAAGAATGTAGCTGCTTTTTATACTCAGCCAGCTACTTGTACAGAGAAGGTGGTGCAGATGTTTCTATAATACCCTATTCAGTTATAGAATTCCTTTTGACTCAGAGGTCTGCCCTATCTAGCAGCATGCTAATTAAATCTACTCACTGGAGACCCAAAAATGGAATCAGTGAACTACAACTTTCTTTGTTATCCCAACAGGGCACTTACATTCATCATAAAAATGAGAAATCATCAATTCTGCTAAGAATCTATGGTCAGTCTCCACAGTGGTCATGACAAGATGGCTCTTACGGAAACAGAGAACTAGAAGAGTCTCACTTTCATGAATTTAAATCTCACTGATTACATTAGGATTTATGTAGTAATTATTTAAAGCATGAATGACTATATTTAAAGGATTTTTTTTGATGTACAGACTTCCAAGTCACAGAATACAGCAACAGCAATTTGTGTGATATCACTTTAACAGACAAGTTGCTAGCTAAACCCCCCCCCCCCCCTTTTTTTGGGGAGGGC